TTTTATATTTTAGAACTGGATACCGAGTTATCGAATTTTTATTTAATTTTATATTTAATCGTAGTAGAAAAAAATATATAAATTTTAAAAGACCGATCATTATTGAAGGGGGATGTGATTAGGTTAATTAAAGATTTATCGTTTTAAGATGATTCTTAATTATTTGACAAATGATTGAATTATTTAGTTGTAAGAAGGGATTGGGGTTAACGTTTTAATCTGATCAATTGTTTTATATACACGGTGACCCTATTTTTTACTTTTATTACGTCACTTATTATTACTCATCGAGCAAATCTAATCCACAAGTGGAACAATGACGTTCTTCTTCTTCTTCTTCTTCTTTTGACTTGACTTACGTTCGTTGTTTTCATTTTGAAAGGAAGACAACGCTAACAAGTGGGTTAGTTCGTTCATTAAAATATGTTAAACATGTTGGTTAGTGGAATACACATACAGACATATTTGTTGAACAATTTAGAAATAAATAAATAAATAAATAAATAAATAATTATAAGAAATACCTGATTTGCGTGTGATAAGCAGGAGTGGTGTGTTCAGAATGCGTCGTTAAAAGTTCAGCAGGACTCGCAGCCATTTCGATGGGGTGTCCAATGGATGGTAGAATTGGATCCAATAATAGGACACCAGGTGTAGCAGGTGAAGGTTGTGGACCAAGCAACGACACGCGTACCTTTTCTCTGCCTTCGCTATAAACAATAAAATGAACAAAATTCAATATAATTAATAATCAGATTTTGAGAAATTTTATTTAATATTATATTAAAATTGGCGACAAATTAGTTTCTGGTTCTTTTCTTTTTTGTTTTTGAGGTTATACTTCTTTTGGCGCGTATTGGAAAGTGAATTTAGATGCGAATGAAAAATCAACACCACGAAGTTGTCGATATTTACGATGCGCATGCGCGGGCAATGCGATTTCAAATTTACAAGCATGAAGTAATTTGTAAATGAATAATTTAGATTGTATATATTAATTAAAACCTTTATCAATTGTATTTAATATCTTCATTTTATTTTATCAGACAAATGTAGAGTATTATATTGATACGCGAGATAATTAAAGTTATTTTTGTGGTTATTGAGGTTATGTTCGTTTTGGTACGTTAAAGAAGTATAACTTCTTACATGCGTACATAAGTACACACATCAGTTTTTTTTATATATATATATATATATATATAATTTATTTACTTTATATTTTA